ACTGCAGGCCTGTTTGGGAAGGACTAGCGGGTAGGCTATGGAGGAGGGAACCACATCTGCCTTCACCCCCGCAGGCCTGGAAGGTGGCGTTTTAGAGGTGCTTTGAAGGACCTTAGTAGGAGCTCTGGTGGCATAGTGGTTAGGTGTTAGGTCACCAGTTGGAAACTACCAGCCGCTCTGAGGAAGGAAGACGGGGCTTTCTACTCCACTCGTAAATGGTTACAGCCTCGGGCAGAGGCCGTTTCACCCTCTAGGTAGGGTCGCTGTGTGTAGGCCTTGATTGGGCGGCAGGAAGTTTGGGGTTTGGGTCAGACAGTGGGTGGTACGTCCTTATTGGAGTTGAGAGGACCAAGGTGGGAACACTGGAAAGCTAGCCCTAGCAGTCCATGCAGAAGAACCAAACTGACAGCCATAGAGCCCCCTCTGACTCATGGTGACACTATGGGGCAGAGTAGAGTGCCCTTTGGGGTGCTAAGCCTGTAGCTCTTTATGGGGGTAGAAAACCTCGTGTTGCTCCTGAGGTGTCAAACTGCTGAGCCCCACGTCCTCCTCACTTGCCCACGAGTGTCTTCATTACAGCCCACTACCTCCATTCCCTGTGGCTTGTTGAGCATCGACGATAGGCCCAAAGAGCCCTCCCGATACAGTGGGTTAAGCATTGGCCCACCAACCACTAGGTCCATAGTTCAAACCCACCAGCTGCTTCTCAGGAAAAAGACTAGCCTTCCTGTTCCCATGAAAATTTAGTGTCAGAAACTCGATGTTGGATCATTAGGAATTGGAATCCACTGGATGGCAGTGGGGTTGTGTTTGGGGCGTGTTATTGTCCCTTGGAAAACAGGCATCATTAAGACAGGGTGCTTAACCTCAAACCCATGGAAGTTTAATAGTAACGTTTCCATCAGCCTAGGACCCCTGGTGGCGAAGTGGGTTATGATAAGATCAGTGATTTGAACCCACCAACCACTCTGCAGGGGAAGATAAGACTATTTAACTCTAATAAATGGGTTAAAGTTTTAGAACCCCACAGGGGCAGTTCTCCTCTGTCCAGTAGAGTCACAATGAGTCAGAATTGACCCCATGACCGTGGAGAGTGGAAGAGGAGCTATGTGTTCTGAGCAGGCTTTTCTGGACCATCGGATGCAGGCTTTATAGCCCCATCAGCTGAACTGCCGTGCACTCTCTGTGTTTTACATATCTGGCCTCTTGAGATTCCTGGGAGATGACATGGATGTGGCCCCAGGTTCCTCATGTCCTAAATTCGTAGTGGATATGACAGTTATGTAGGTGTCTTTGTGGTGCTTGTATTTAAACACATGGCTGCTAAACAAAATGTCTGCACTTTGAACCCACTCCCCTCTTGAGGAAGAAAGGTGTGGCGGGCTGCTTCAGTAAGGACAACAGCCTTGGACACTCAGAAGTCATTATGAATCAGAATCCACTCTATGGTAGTGGGAATTTTAATTTTGTTCTGTTTATAATAACTATGGTAAACTTTTATCTTCTATTTCCTTTGTATCATGGTCCCAATTCCATGCCTCACATCTAATTTAGTTTTATGTTCATAGTACATCTATTCCTGGATCACCCTGGTGTTAGACTGGGTTGCCTAAGAAACATACCCAGTGACATTTATATATGTACAAGAAAGAACTTCATATAACGAAGTAATTTCATGTATCAAGGAGATCTCCAAGCATAGTCTAACTCAAGTCTGTGGGTCCCCTGCTGGCCGGGGCCCTTCCTCTTCAGACTCAAGTAGCTGCAGGTCGATGATGCAAGAAGGTGAAATGGGGAGCAGGCCAGTGGTGCAGAGAGCTCTCAGGGTCAGGTTACCCACCTAGGACTGCCCTGGGAGGCAGGCAGAGAGAGACCCAGTGAGGAGGAAGGCCAAGGGCAAGAGGAGAGATGTTCCCAGTGTCTCTCTTGTTAAAAGGCTATGTATGCCCCCAAGTACGCATCACCAGCTGTGACTGCTAGGTGAGCTTCCATAGCTACACCTTCACTCTGGTGCACAGTGACATAAATGCTAACTCCACACTCTTCTAGAACAGTTGAACACTCGCCATATTGATGCCAAACACACACAAGCAAATGCAGAGGCTGAACATCCTTCAGTTTAAGATGCCTTGTCCCGGACTTACTACCCAGCTATCACCAGACACAGAAACTGCCATGCAGAAATTGCCCTTTTTTCTGCTACTTGGGAGGGAAGAAGGTTCTTGAGGGTCAACACAGGAGCTTGCAGAGGTCCTGCAAAGAATAGTAATGTGTTTTTGAATGCTATGAGGTGCTAGAAAATACATTTGTAAACTTTATGAGATAAGAATTGATATGCCCATTTATGTTTGAGAAACATTTGGTCTTAGAAAGACCCTTGCCTAAGGCAGCACAAATACTAAATCGAGCCAGTATGCAAACCCAGATCTCTTATCCTGAACCATTGACATTTTCTTCCTCCTAAATAAGTAGGTATACCAGAGTACCCATTTGCTGGTGGAATGGCCTTAAAAAGCTTTATTTTAGGTGGGATTGTGAGTTGGATGTTGGCTGCTCATGAAGGTTTGGCTCTTCGCAACTCCCAGTGGCTCCAAGGCAAAACAAAAAAAAAATTGTCTTGCTATAAAGATTTACAGTCTTGGGAACCCTGTAGATCAGCAGTTCTCAACATGTGGGTCACGACCCCTTTGGGGGTCAAATGACCCTTTCACAGGGGTTGCCCAATTCATAACAGTAGCAAAATGACAGTGATGAAATAGTAACGAAAATAATGTTATGGTTGGGGGGGTCACCACCACACAAGGAACTGTATGAAAGGGTCACGGTATGAGGAAGGTGGAGAAGCACTGCTGTAGAGCAGGGGCGTCACTCAATGAAAACTTGGGCCACTTGGTGCAACAGGAAAGATTCACGCGGGCCACCTCACATTTATAAATTTTGTTAAATTTATATTTTGAAGTGAGGATTCAGGAATATGGATAGGATAATTAAAACACTATATAGTTGCTTTTATTTAAACCTTTATTTTATTTAATGTATTTATAAAACTAAAATTATTCTTTTTTACCCAAAACCTGCCAGTGCTTTCCTCCTACTAGTTTTCCAATATCTGGACTCAAAGACTGGGAACAGACAATCTTCATTAAGGCAGATGTTTATCAGTTAATTTTTATCTGTTTGCCATTTTATTTAATTTCATGGATGAAAATAGTTGCTCACACAAGTACGTACTCCCAAAATAGCATAACACTTGTGCAGCAAACTTTTAAATTTCTGGATATTTCTCACCCAAATAAGAATATATTTTGGGAATTCCTACTTCTTGAAATTTG